ACCCCACTCCTCCACGCAACTATCAGGAAGCCGGCGCGTCCCAGTACCGACAGGCTCACACAGAAAAAGCGGACTCGCCACTGAGGCCCCAAGCACCTCTCTCGGCCACAGCGGGCAGATCCGGGCAGCGACGCCGCCACGCACCCCGAGCCTCGGTCCCCCACTCACTTTTTGAGGAAGGCTGCCAGAGCTCTGACGAACTCCTGCTGGTTCACGTCTTTTACGGTAACTCCGGGCATCTGGAGGGAAGGTCGAGCGTGTGAACACAAGGCCCGGCCCGCCCGCTCCTTTCGCTCCGGCGGTCCGCGGCACCCAGTCTCTCCCGAGGCCCCGCTTCAACCCCGGGTCCGGCTCCCGCGGTCTCTGCGGGTCGCACAGATGCAGCCTGTTCCCGTTTGCGAGGATTCTACACGACCCTTTCTCGTCCCCGGGACACCTGGCACCCTTATTGCCAGCCGCAGCCCCCAGACCCCTTCTCGGTTCGCGGACGGCGCTGACCGGGCATGTCCGGGCCTGCCGCTCGCACGTGGCCGCAGCTTCAGGGGGCGGAGCGGTCCAGTGCCGGACGCCCCGCAGCCCTTAAGCACGCGCTCCTGGGCTGAGGAGTCCGGCCCCAACGCTCCGCGCCGAGTCCGCCCCAGAGCACCAACCTACCGTGCGGCCTCCGCGCTGCCTGCCAGGGGAAAGGGAGCAACGGGGTTTCCCGGGCGCACAAGTCGGGCGTCAGGTCTCGCGAGAGCTTCCAGACCTCGCGCGAGTTCTCGCGGAGTAGGCGGCTCCGCCTCTCTCTGGGCGAATGTGGTTTCGTCTCCGCCTAGAAGGGCGGGAGTGGAGAGGCGAAGGGAAAGGTTGGTGGCACTGGCGTGGAGGCCTGGGTTTCCTCCCCTCCCTTCTTTCTCCCCTTTAAGCTGGGGAAACTTGGTTTCGTTTGCGCCGTCCGTGGCTGGAAGGAACAGCGGTGGAACAGACTGTGATGGCGGAAGTACGGGACAAACTGGGTGGGCAGGACAGAAAGAGAACGGGCCACGGCCAAAGCTCGTAGCGGCCCAAGCCCTCTTCCGGGTGGAAGTGGCTTTTCCCTGGCCGGAAGTGGGAGCAGTAAGGGCGGAACTGTGACGGATAACCTAGGGGAAAGGCGAGGAAGAAATGTGGCCTTCGTCTTCCCCCTTTCCCCCGCCAGTAGTCGCGAGAGCAGGCGACGGAAGCCCCACCCTTCTTAGGGCGGAAGTTGCTTCAGCGCGGCCGAGGCGACCTAAGTGAGAATGAGGCACTAGAGGCGGGGAGGAGATAGGGGCAGGGACAAAGAGGTGGGGGCGGGACCTTCGGAGAAGTTATTTCAGCTCCCCCTTCTAGTAGTGTCTGACTCTGTTCGTCCGGCCTTCAGTCTTACCTTGCCGTTGTGGTTTTATCTGCCCTGTTGACCTAAGGACCTTAAGGCAGTCTTTTTGCCTCTTCAGTCTCGCTATTAAAATTTTAAAAAGACTGAGATCCCAATTTGCCCATTTTAAGTGACTTGACTGCTCCTGTGCTTGGTGCATCACATACTCTAGTAACAATTAATTAATTATTATTATTATTTTTTTGAGTTGGAGTCTCACTCTGTCACCCAGACTGGAGTGCAGTGGCTGCTCCCGGCCACCGCAGTCTCGACCTGCTGGGCTCCGACGATCCTTCCGCCTCAGCCTTCCAAGTAGCTGGAACTACAGGCGCGCGCTACCATGCCCGGCTGATTTTTTGATTTATTATAGAGATGAGGTCTTGTCAAGTTGCCCAGGCGGGTCTCGAACCCGCGGGCTCAGGCAATCAACTCACCTTGGCCTCCCAAAGTGCTGGGATTACAGGCTGAACCACTGAACCCGGCCAACAATTATTTTTTAAGTGGCAGGCACAAGTAAATATTCTTTGGACGTTTATCATGTGGCTGGTCCTGTAATATTACATACGTGATCTCATTTAATCCTTATAAGGCCCAAGAAAGAAAGAACATGAGGGACACCCCTGTGGTGCAATAAAATTATGTTAACTCGCTGCAAAGAGGAAACAGTGAAATGTTTGTAGCTATTTTCTTATGTTGAAAGATTTTTGAGTCTAAAACAGAGCAAATAATATTGAAATTTTTTTCTAGGCCAGGGGCGGTGGCTCATGCCTATAATCCCAGCACTTTGGGAGGCCAAGGTGAGAGGATTGCTGGGCAACTTGGCGAGACTTCATCATTACAATAAATAAAAAAATTAACCAGGCATGGTGGGGCGCATACCTGTAGTTCCAGCTACTTGGCAGGTTGAGGTGGAAGGATCACCTGAGCCCAGCAGGTTGAGGCTGAGATGGCCATGAACGTGCCACTGCACTCCAACCTGGGTGACAGAGTGAGACTCCAACTAAAAAAAATTTTTTTTCATACTGATACCATGTATGCAAAATGCCTTATTAATATGACAATATGTTATGATAGTAATATCTGTTAAAAATTAAAACCGGCTGGACATGGTGGCTCATTCCTATAAACCTAGCCCTTTGGGAGGCCAAGATGAGAGAACGGCCTGAGCCCACGGGTTTGAGACCAGCCCGGCCAACTTGGTGAGACCTCATCTCTACAATAAATAAAAAAATTAACTGGGCATGGTGGTGCACACCTGTAGTTCCAGCTACTTGGAAGACTGAGGTGGAAGGATCGCCTGAGCCTAGCAGGTCAAGGCTGCGGTGGCGGTGAGCATGCCACTGTACTCTAGCCTGGATGACAGTGAGACTCTGACTCAAAAAAAAAAATTCAAACCAATTATGCTTTTTGGATGATAATGTATTTAAATCAGGGTTTTACATTCACATGGAATGTTATTTAAACCTATTTCACACTGTTTTTAAAACATCACCATCAATCATCTTGAGACAAAAGAGGAGTGTAGGTAACACCAGGAAAAGGAATCAGTGATCATCCCTTGAGCCCTTTTTTATTTTTTGAGTTGGAGTCTCACTCTGTCACCCAGACCGGAGTTCAGTGGCACGTTCACAGTCACCGCAGCCTTGACCTGCTGGGTTCAGGGGATTCTTCTGCCTCAGCTTCCAAGTAGCTGGAACTACAGGCACATGCCACCATGCCTGGCTAATATTTTGATTTATTGTGGAGATGAGGTCTTACCAAGTTGCCCAGGCTGGTCTTGAACCTGAGAGCTCAGGCAATACTCTCACCTCAGCCTTCCAAAGTGCTGGGATTATAGGCATGAGCCACTGCACCTGGCTGTCCTTGAGCCCTTTCTAAGGGTGGCAATGGGGATGGGGGTCTCTGGGTCTTCAAATCTTTGGAATAGCTCAACAGGTCTTCATATGTTTTGAATGGTTCACGGAGATGGACTTAACACTAGAGGACTAAGAAACAAATACAGGTGAGATCTTGTTATTACTTAATGATATCTTGAGTAAGAAAAATAAAAGGCTTTTGAAAAATCCTTCTGACTCATGTTTGTCTCTTGGGATTCTTACTCTTTCATTCTATGCTTTATAAACATTACCTATTAACTGATTTGGGCCTGGCAAGGAGAAGGAACCCTCCCCTGATCTTGCCTAGAAATTTTCCTGAAAACACTTGGGCAAGACTCTTTACCTCTTTAAGCTTGCTTCTTCATTTGTTAAATGAGAATAATCATGCATAGTGTACAAGGTTGATGTGAAGATATATGTGAATCAAATACAGTGGGCACACAATAAATGGTGATAATTATCTCTAAACTTATATGGATCCTTCAGAACTTAGACACATGAACCTCCCTAGTTGAGGAAAAAACCCATGATAAAGACTAACTTTTTTTTTCCTGTCCTAGTTGGCCTCAGTTTTCCCATCTGAAAAATACCATATTAGATTAGCATCAAATTGACATTCCATTGGGCAAAGCTGGCCTGAAGATGTGTTTTATTTGACTCATGTAGGATTTAAAGAAGAAAACTGAGCCAACATTTGAAAATTAAGATGTTTTATACAGCAATCTAGTTTTTGGTTGGGTGTGATGGCTCACACCTGTAATCCTAGTACTTTGGGAGGCTGAGGTGGGAGGATCACTTGAGGCCAGGAATTTGAGACCAACAACAACAACAACAACAACAACAACAAAACTGGGTGTGGTGTCTGTGTGCCTGTAGTTCCAGCTCCTGAAGAGGCTGAAGTGGGAGTTTGAGGCTGCAGTGAGCTATGATCGAGCCACTGTTCTCCAGCCTGGGTGACAGAGCAAGGCCCTGTTTTAAGCAAAAACAAAAACTTCTAATTTTTCAGTTTTTCTTGAAAAACAAAAGACGTGGCAACACCTAGTCCACTTTCCTGCCTGCAACAATCTTCTGGGGCCAAAAGGGGGCTGTCCCTTAGGTAAGGCATATATTCTGTGTGCTAGGACCCATCTGGCCTTCTTTACTCGTTTATATGATCTGCTTGGCCCTGTAGGCATTTGAATTTGTGGTCCTCAAGACAGGTGGAAACTGTCTATGCCTGGCACAAAGCAGGCACTTAATTACTGATTCAGTGAACCCCTGCTATTTCCATCCATCATTCTTACTTATCTGGCTACAATAATAAATCCACGTATATGTTTATCTGTGGTAGTTATTGATAACGTTCACCTTTTTTCTTTTTTTTTTGAGTCGGAGTCTCACTCTGTTGCCCAGACTGGAGTGCAGTGGCCGCTCCTGGCCACCGCAGCCTCGACCTGCTGGGCTCCAGCGATTCTTCTGCCTCAGCCTTCCAAGTAGCTGGAACTACAGGCGCGTGCTACCATGCTCGGCTAATTTTTGACTTATTGTAGAGATGAGGTCTCACCAAGTTGCCCAGGCAGGTCTCGAATCCGCAGGCTCAGGCAATCCACTCACCTCAGCCTCCCAAGGCATGGGATTACAGGCTGAGCCACGGAGCCTGGCTGAATAACGTTCACTTTGAGAAGTGAATTGAACAAGTTCTTTCTGTCAATCAGGATAGATTAGGGTAGGCCGTGGAAACAAACAGTCCCCAAACCTTTATGACCTAAAACAACAAAGGTTTATTTCTTGCTTACTCACACAAACCTAGACACAAAATGAAAATACTCTCCTGTTTTCACATGCATGGAGACAGACATGAGTGCACAGGCATGTACAGAGTCATGGAACCTTGGGACACATACTCATGCAAAAACATATATAGATAACGATCAGTGTAACTGCACAACTCTCTCATTCTTGGGGATTTTAAAAAGACCTAGGACCCAAGAAGGGGTAGAAGAATATCCACTTTCAGCCAAGGAAATGCCCACACTACAGAAGGAACTGAAAGATAATGAAGTGCCTGGAAGCTTAAAAAAAAAGGCTGAAGCTTGTACTACATTAAATTCCATGCATAAATCCATAAGGGAAACACTGAATATGCAGTGCTTGCAGGCTATCACCTCCCTGTCACAGTGAGGCAGCCTCCATCTCTAGGCTTCTAGCTCAGGAGGGAGATGGACCCCAGGTGTCCAATATGCAGAGCAACGGAGGGGGTTGGGCTGGGTCGAAGAGAGGGGCCAACAGGCTGGAATCCTCTTCCTCCAGCAGGAACTATAGGTAGGAAGGAAGGGGGCAGGACCAGGTCACATACATTTCCCCTCCCAGCAACCCGCCCCCACTTTTTACCACATCCAACCCAGGCCTCATCCTTGTTCACCTGGCTTATTGTACAGACCTTCCTTGCTGATTTTCCCACCTCCGGTCTTGCCTTCGCCAAATCCTCCATCAAAGCCACCATACTTGACTTTGTGAAGCTTAGAGTCTGAATTTGTCCCTTTTTAGTTCAGAAACAATCCCTGGTTTCCCTTCATGTACAGTTGCTGGTCTAGACTCCTAAGCCTGGCATGCCAGGTCTCCACAATCAAAAACCTCTCTAGTCTCATGTCCCTCTGTTCCAGTAGTTCCTGCAGACCAGTTTGCCCAACCCACCACATGAACAGGATAATTCTATCTTCCCTCTCTATACCCCTAGGTGTTTCTCATTCTTCAAGGTTCCTTCAGTCTTCTCTAAGTTTTTCACTGAGCCTTGTGAAGGCATCTAGTTTCTCTAACTAAAATGAAAGATTCTTGAAGGCAGTTATCAGATCTCCTCCCAACCCAGACCCTTATTATTTTGGCCCATCTCCAGACTTCAGCAGGCAACTTGGGTCCAGAGAGAGAGTCTGGGGCTGTAGTCAGGAGACTCCAATAGCCTGCTCTGCCATTATCTCACTGTATGCCAAGCCTCTGCTTCTCTCAGGGCCTCACTTTTCCTGACATCAGGGTGCTGGAAATTTGCTGTTGAGTGCAAAACTGATAAAACGAACTCATTGAACAACTCTCAACTGCAACATCAGGGGCCAGGCTGAGGAGTGTGGAGGTCTGGGCTTGACGGTGTTCAACCTGCTGACCCCTGATTGCCCTGGTTAGTTCCTGCTTACTCCAGTGGCCTCCATTTCCCAATCATCCCTATCCCATCCTCTCCTTTCATGGAACAGATTACCTGGTGGGCCACAGGGGTGAAGCAGGGAGATCCAGGCAGGGTTTGGGGGGACAGAAGGGGTCAGGCGGGGGGCCTGGGATGAATCTTTCAGTCCCATGAGGGCCTCAGCTGCCTCCTGCTGCAGCTGCCGTTCTGAGGGGGCAGATGTCCAGGCCAGGCGAGAGGCTCCGGGGACCTGCAAAGGAAAGGGAGAGAAGCAGACTGGGAACTCCCATTTCTTCCTACCTTCAGTGTTCCCTCAGCCCCAGGCTCCTTCAGAGTCTCTTGCTTTTCCCTTCCCCAGGCTCAACGTCCTCCCAGGGTCCTGGATCCCACTTCTTTCTCAGGACCTGTGGCTGCAGCAGAAGAGGGTCCGGGGTGCTACAGGACTGGAGTATCAGAGTTGAACATCTAGAAACAAGGAGAGTAGATGTCAGAGTGGTTAAACACAGGGATGGAAGTACACATGGAAAAAGGGGCAGGATTTCACTATATTCTGATCTGAGAGTCCAAGAGCTGGACTATTAGGCTTTGTGGGCTTGGGCAAGTCCCATCCCGTGTCTTGGCCTGCATTGTTTTCTGTAAAGTGAAAATCCCTGCCAGCTTTTTCCTCCCAAGGCTACTGGGAGGTTTATGGAAAACCACTGGTATCAGTTTTTAAAAAATTGACAAAACACCCAGAGGGACTGGGATTACTGTACTACTATACTGCCAGAGTCAATCTGGTTCCCCTCTCCTCAATTCCCCAATCCCCACAGAATGTTAAGGAGGGCTTGGCTCATTTTAGGAAGCTTTCCTTAATGGCCCCTGGCCTCTATCCTAGGCCTCTGAGGCTCTTGCCATCATTACCCTCCATTTCAGCAGGCAATCCTACCCCATCAAATCTGTTCAAGCAGATTTAATAGCCACTATCTGTTCAAGGCCAAAGTCTGTGTTAGGTGTATGCCATCAATTATTACAAATTCTTATGACAACCTGAGAGGTAAGTAATAGTGTCTCCAATTTGCTGATAGAAAAACATGCTCAGAGAGGTAGATACTTGTCCAAAGGGTCATAGCTAGAAAATGACAATACTAGGAAAGCTCTGTCTTGCCTATTTTCTTCTTGATCACCTACTATGGTGTCCAGTACAGGCTCTCCTTACTCACGTGCGGGGCAGGCTAGGGGGCCCTTGAGGCTCTCCAGAAAGAGGAGCTGTCAATACTGGGCGAGATCCTGGGCAGGTGGTGAGGGGCCCATGAGTGGGCAGCCGGAAGGAGGTGCCAGGGTCAAAGCCTAATGAGGGTAAGAGAATGCAGATTGTGTAGACATCAAAGGTCATGATTTCTGTCCTCCCTCTCCCCACCCATGTCTTCCTTTTCCCTTTCTGATACACGGCAATTGGCACTCAATTATCAGTTGAATAAATGTTGAATTATCTTACCAGAGAAGGGATGCAGAGGAACAGCAGGTTCTTGGCATAGCAAACGGCAAACCACTGGAGGTGGCATGGAGAGGCCTGGATGCAGCCAGTGTCCAGGGGTCCAAGGGCCTGGAGGTACTGGAGTCCAGGGCAAAGGCAAGATTTCTGGGGGACGGCTGAGCAGCAGAGGCCCTCGAGAGTTCTCCTGAAGGGGCAGAGAGCACAGGGTGGAGTTGGGTACAAGGCTGGAGAAGGGGTGGTCATTTTCTGGGATGGGAGTAGAACCCCAAAACTTTAGAGATAGGAGGAACTTAAAGTCCCACACTCTCATTTTACGCCAAGTGTGAGGGCACAAAAGCAGGGACCTGGGCAGGAGCTGGGGTGGGAGCCACTCCCTCGGGGCCCAGGCTCTCTTACCTTCCCAGGAGGTGTCAGTGCCAGCGGGACTGCCCCACGGGGGCCCTGTGGCTGAAGTGCTATGTTCTCCTTTCCAGCTGTGAAGGACCAGAGACAGCTCTAGTGAGCCCTTCTCTTGACCTCTATCCTATCCCAATCCCAAACTGAGTTCGTATCTCCCTCTGGTCATTTTATTTATTAATTGATTTTTTATTTTAAAGATGCGGGGTACAATTCAGGGTTAGGTATACACATGTTCATTATGCAGGTACCCTTGTTGATGAGGTGTGCCCCTCCCAATCCTGGCACTTTCCCACTATTGCCAATCCTCCCCACCCCCTGCCCCACCCCCTGGTCATTTCTCTCTGGCCATTTTCTACTGGCAGATCTCATTGTCCTCCCAACACCAGGACAGCTGAGGCCTGGAGAGTAGAAACCCCTTGCTCAATTCAGTAGCAGGAGGGACTCTTTCCCCTTATGCCTTCCACACCCAAATCCCTGCCTCATCACTGGCCAGAGACACTCACAAGGCACCCCTGGTCGAGTGGCTCCCCCCTTCTTGACACGGCTGGGAGCTTTGGGAGGGACTTCCCCTTTCCTTATCAGTCCTTGAGCCAGGTGCCTCTTTAGCTGCGCCTCCTGCTGCCTACGCAAGGCCACCTGGGCAGCCATGACCCTTCGGCGCTCCCTAAAAGGGGGGTATTGTGAGTCAAAAGTCAGCCGTCCTTTGAAGAGGGCCACCCTCCTCCCCTCCTGGACCTCATACTCACAGGATGAGGACACATTTAGGACACTCGCAAGCCTGAAAGAGGCAGAGGCGCTTGTGGCCCTTGAGGTGGGCAGTGACGCCGTGGTTGCGGCAGCGGGCACAGGTTGGAGAGCGACTGACAGTTCTCTTGGGGACAAGCTCTGCATCCTGCGGGGCTCTGGTCTCACCCTCTGGGGCAGAGTCTGAGGGGCAGTGGTGGTCAGCAGGCGCTTCACTAGGTTCCATGGATCTAGAGGCAGGAGTGGAGGGTCAGAGTGGCCACGTGGGTCCTCCTCAGCCAGCCCTCCTGCCCTGGGAGGCCACACCTATGGGTCTCCATCCTGCCCACCTCTGGACCCAGCTTTTTCCCAGCTTCTCCCTGGCTTTCTCCCCTCTTCACCCCACGGCCTTTCTCAGGGACCTTCCTTCCTAGGAATGCCCTCTCCTCTTCCTCTCCTATATCCTTTCAACCCAAATATCCTCTTTTGCCTGCCTGCACTTTCCCACGCATATACTGCCATTTCAGGCATATTCATGCCCTCCATGCCCCTTCAAAGATTCCTACACCCCCTTTCCACAAATACCCTGTTCTGTCCAACAGTTCTTCCTGGCATCCTTGTCAGCCATGATCACTCTCCCCTCATTCATTTATCCAATTCCTACAGCTCTTTTTGTTTGTTTATTATTTTATTGTCTTTTTCAACTCCTGGAGTTCTTTCTAGGCCCCCTTTCCATTCTTGGTCTCCGGCATGCCCTGCAATTCAACTTCCCATTACACTCCTGCAAGTCTGATTTTGTCCTTGCACCCCTTTAAATCTCAACCCTCTCTTGCACCTCCACCAATTACATTATTCTCATGGATTCCCTGTCCCACTTTCTTTGTTTTGAGACATGGTCTTGCTCTGTCGCCCAGGCTAGAGTGTAGTGGCATGATCATAGCTTACTGTAGCCTCAAACTCCCGGGCTCCCTCCCACCTCAGCCTCCCTGTACTGGGAATAGAGGTCACATTGAACACAGTGGCTTCCGTGTCTCACTTTCTTTTTTCTTTTCCTTCTTTTTTTTTGTGACACAGGGTCTCACTCTGTCACCCAGGCTGGAGTGCTGTGGCACAATCTCCTCTCACCACAACCTTGGTGATCTGGGCTCAGGTGATCCTTCTGCCTCAGCCTCCCGAGTAGCTGGGGCTACAGGTGCTTGCCACCACGCCTAATTAATCTTTTGATTTTTTTTTTTCTGAGTTGGCCAGACTGGAGTGCAGTGGCACGCTCCCGGCCACCGCAGCCTTGACCTGCTGGGCTCCCGCGATTCTTCGGCCTCAGCCTTCCAAGTAGCCGGAACTTCAGGCGCACGCTACCACGCCCAGCTAATTTTTTTGATTTATTGTAGAGACAAGGTCGGCGCCAAGTTGGCCGGGTGGGTCTCGAACCCCGCGGGCTCAGGCAATCCACTCGCCTCGGTCTCCCAAAGTGCTGGGATTACGGGCTGAGCCACCGAGCCCGGCCAATCTTTTGATTTTTAAAACATTTTGTAGAGAGGAGGCCTCCCCGTTGCCCAGGCTGGTCTCCAATTCCTGGACTCAAGCGGTTTTTCCGCTTCGGCCTCCCAAAGTGCTGGGATTACAGGCGTGAGCCACTGCGCCTGGCCTCCTACCCGCTTTCAGTAATTACTTTCATTCACTCCCTCACTCATTCCACGAATGTTCACTGAGCCCCTGCCACGTGCCAGGCCCTGATCTAGACCACAAGCCCTCTCCTCAGGGCACTAACGTCTCTCTTGCACCCACAGGTGGCCCAGGCTTTCCCGCAGCTGTACCAGCGCTTCCTGCTCCTGTGCCCACTTCCAACAAGTAATCAGATGCATCTCCCCCTCCCTCATGC